CTAAATCATTGATTCGCAGTGTATACGCGCATTCTAAACTAAAAGAAACAGAGTAAAGTGGCTGATGAATCCAACTAGAAGATTGCTTAATGGACTAGAACAAGCATAAATGTTTACAACTTTTAGCACATCGAACCAATAAACTTGATCCAGTCCAATCACAAAGTTAGTGAAATCGAATGAACACCCCGTAGATTTTTATGTGACCCGCCTTGCTGCCCGCCGAAATATGGAATCTTTTTTGTTTGTTTGTTTCTTACTTCCTTTGTTATTAACCAGTTTCAGATAACTTTCTTTTCAACGTTTTCTTCATTATCAATTATCGTAAATTTTCCATCTACAAACCATTGTCATATAATACTGATAGCATAATATTGATTCATTTCTATAATAGCACTGAGGGTATGGATAAAAATTATGATAAATCCAAAGTCACATTCTTTGAAAAAGACTTTTTTTATGGTAATGTTGTTATTGATAAAGATAATAATGATAATGATGAAGACATTAATGGTATCAACAAGATCAATTCAGACAATTATACCGATATCAAAAATGACAAAAATTAATAAATGTACTACTGCCACTACCACAATTACTATTAGTAATGAAAATCATCACTACATTGATAATACTAATGATCATTATAAAAAATAATACTAATAATAATTAATTAAAATATAATACTAATAATGAAAATTATAGAAGCAATAATGATGATGTAACAATCACACAAACATTTAAGGAAATGATGATAACGGTAATATTTGTCAAAATTATATTCTTATAAGAGTAATAATAACAAAGATGATAATAAAAATAATGACCATAATGATACTGATAAAACAATAATGACATGATAACAAAATCACTACATAATGATAATGATGATACAAGTAGTGATAATAACAATGATAATGATAATCATGATAATGATAACAATAATAATGATAGTGATAATAACACCAATAGTAGTAAAGACAATACTAATTATGGTGATGACAATATTAGTAATATTTATGATAATAGTAACAATTAATAGTAAAATTATAATAATGACAATGATAATCATGATAGTTGTAATAATAATAACAGAAATAATTGTAATGATAATAACATAAATACTGGTAATAATGATAACAGTAACGATAATGATGATAATAATGATTATAATAATTAGTATAATAATAATGAAGGTGATTATAATGGTAATGGTGATAACAATAACAATAATTATCAAATATTAAAGATGGTAATGATTATGCTGCTACTACTGATAATAAAAGGAATAATAATGATAATGATAATACTACTAATAATAATGATGCTAATGATAATAAGGATATGAATAATAATAATGATAGTTATAATCTATTATTTATTATTATCTATCATTATTATTATGACTATCATCATAATAATAAAAATAACAATGATGATTATGTTATCATGATGATCCAATAAAATAATGCAATAATGATAATAATGCTCATAATAATGAAAATATCAAGACTAGCAATCATGAGGGTGGTAACGATAGTGATAATAATAACCAACTACAATAATAAAATCATTGTTATCATTATTTTTATTATTATCATCATTATCATTGTTATTATGACTATTAATAATTAATAAAATTAAAACTAACATTATCGTTACCATTATTATTGTTGTTACCATTACTATCATTATTATCATCATTATTATTATCATTATTACTATTACCATTACCTTTGTTATCCTCACTAGCATTACGATTGTTATCATCATTATCATTATCATTTTTATTGTTATTACCATTACTCTTATCATCATTATGTTATTATTATTATTATTATAAACTATAACGACAATGATGATAATGATAATAATGTTTATGATGATGATGATGATGATAATAATAGTAATAGTAATAATAACACTAATGATAATAATAAGAATGATAATAAAAATAATAACAGTAATTATTATGATGTTCATAACAATAATATTGATGATAATAATTATGAAAATAATAATAATAACAATAATGATAATAATATTAATAATAATAAAATAATGATGGTAATGATGATAATAATAATAATAAAATGATGATAATGATAACAATAATAATAAAAATAATGATGATACTGATACTGATAATAATAATAATAATAATAATAATAATAATAATAATAATAATAATAATAATAATGATAATAATAATAATAATAATAATGGTAATAATAATAATTATTATCATTATTATTATTATAACAACAACAACAATAATAATAGCAATAATAATATTGATAATGATAATAATCATAATAATATTAAGTAAATCTGGAGGATATAGAATTTCAGTAAACAAAAATGAAATGCTACTAAAATGGAGGAGCAACATGCAAACCAATCAGGGAAATCAATTTTGAGGAAAGACATAATTACGTCATTATATTAAAATGAAAGTGCCGAAATTTGTCGCACGCAATCCCATTCTTCGCTTATCGCCTGAGTCAGTGTAAACAAACCATGTAACTCAGAAGATGGCGCTCAAGAAAGTAGTGCGTGTGCTACTATCTATCGTTTGATAGACATTTACGCGTAATTTCAAGTTGATTTTCGACATTTGCTCTTCAAACGATATTAATTACCATTATATTAATTCATTTAACTAATTTCTATAATCTACTCACATTTTACGCTCTCAAAATTTGGTGTGACGTCATTGTATGGCGCATTGATACCTTCGAATAAGGTATGCGATTAATGATATTAATGATAATGATGATTATCTTTAACATTCTTAATCATCATTACGATAATAGTAATAGTAATGATGATTATGACAATAATGATAATCATAATAATAAGAAGACGAAGAAGAAAAACAACGATAATAGTGATAATATGAATGATGGTGATAATCATCATCATCATCATTATAATAGTAATAGCAATATTAGTAATAATGACGATACTGAAAATGATAATAATAGTAGTAGAAATAGTAATAATAAGACTAATAATGAGGATATTATGATAATGATAATAGTGATGATAATGCTAATAATAATAAGAAGAAGACGAAGAAGGATGATAATAATAATGATGATTATGATAATGGCAACAATAATAATAATAATAGTATTGATACTAATAATGGAAACGAATAATGATGATAATGATTATCATATTGATGATGATAATGGTAGTAATGATGATTAAAATAGAATAAATTATAACAAAAATGATAATAATTATCAATATTATCATTAGCATTATTATTATCCTCACCATTGGTATTATCATTATTATCATTATCATCATTATTTTCATCAGAATGATAATGGTAATAATAACAATAATAGCATTGATTTTGATAGTAATGATAATTATAATAATGATAATAGTAATGACAATGATGACAATGAAAATTAATGATATTGGCAATGTAAAGTGATGACGATAATCATGGTAAAAATTATGGTGAAAATAATATTGATAATAATAATTATGAAAAATAAAATATTAATATCAATGATAGTATCAATGATAATCAGACTTATCGTAATGATAATGAAGATGATGAATGTAGTAAGGATTATCATAGTAACAATAATGATAATGATGATGAGGATGAGGATGTTTGTGATACTACTACTACTACTACTAATAATAATAATAGACAGTGATATTGATGATGATGATGATGATGACGATGACGGCAGTTATGACCATGATAGTGATGACAATGATAATGACCATAATGTAACAGTAATGATAATGATAATGATAACAATTATAATCATATTATGATAATAATAATGATAATGATTATAGTGATAATAATAATAGTAGTAGTAATAGTAATGATGATAATGATAGTAATGATAATAATAATAATGACAATAATCATGATTATGATAACAATAGAGTAATAACAACTTCAATAATAGTAACAACAACAACAGTAATTGTAATAATAACAGTGATAATAATATTGGTGATAACAGTAATCATTATTATTATAGCAGTGGTAGTAGTAGTAGTAATGGTAATAGTAGTAATTATGATTATGATGATTGTAATATAAATAGTAATGTTGATGATGATGAAAACGATAATATGAAAAATTATCATAATAATAATAATATTGATAATGATAATACTGGTGACAATACTATCATTATCATTACTATCGTCAACAAAAATAATTAAAATTAATAACGAT